GGTACAATCAAGCTATGTACAAAGCATGAGAGAAGGTACAATCAAGCTTATGTACAAAACATGAGAGAAGGTACAGTCAAGCTATGTACAAAGCATGAGAGAAGGTACAGTCAAGCTATGGACAAAGCATGAGAGAAGGTACAGTCAAGCTATGGACAAAGCATGAGAGAAGGTACAGTCAAGCCATCCACTCTGCAACAAGGAAACTTCTTCACAGACACAGGGGTGGTGCTGCGATGGGTACGCATGTTGTGCTAACAGCTCAGATGTTATGTAGATGACGACGCATTGATATGTGAGTGCTAGGTGTGATTCGACTAACCACGATAGAGACTACACACAAGGTGAGTCATTGGAGTATACTGGGCCAAAGCAGGAAGGGAGAAGCTTGATTGTGAGGAGGTCAGTCTGGCACGTAACTATGTTTCAGCAGGAAGATAGTACAAAACAAAAGTGCAGCAAAAAGTACACGACTTATTTGTTAACACCCCTTGTGGATATGAATGGATGTATGCTGATATATGCATGGAGGTCTACATGGATATGTGAACACCCCGACACAAAACACGGGTACAGAGATAGCAACCAGTCTCTACAGAGTACCACGCTCGAGTCAAGGGTTTAAACCTAGTACATCCAGAGGTGTACTTTGCATTACTCTGCCAAACTCAACTCAACGGTTTAAAACGATTGAAACTATGACACACATAGGTGTACTATGCTTCACTCTGCCAAACTCAACTCAACGGTTTAAAATGATTAAAACTATTACACACACAGGTGTACAATGCATCACTCTGCCAAACTCAACTCAACGGTTTAAAACGATTAAAACTATTACACACACAGGTGTACTATGCATCACTCTGCCAAACTCAATTCAGCGGTTTAAAACGATTAAAACTATTACACACACAGGTGTACTATGCATCACACCACTTACTGGAGGTCGAGCACGGCTGATATCAGTGAGAGCAGCACCATCGGCAACAGACAGTAGCCCAGCACACTGCACACCAACTGTGGGGAGATGAACGAACGCATATTAGTCACACACACAGCGTATAACACATACGTGGGGAAGAAAGCACAGGCACAGAGACTATTAACTACACACACAGCGTATAACACACACGTGGGGAAGAAAGCACAGGCACAGAGACTACTAACTACACCAAGCCAACAACCTTAAAGGATAAAGGCAAGTAAGTACAGACAACTGACACAAGGAGTACTCAGCAATAAACGTAATACAAACGTTAGCCAGCCCAAGCCAACAACCTTAAAGGATTAAGGCAAGGAAGTACAGACAACTGGCACAAGGAGTACTCAGCAATCACGGACTTACCTACCACACACAACACTGTATGCTACACAGCAACATACATGACAGCCTCATCACACACTACCCCAATATACAACACCCACAAACAGCCACTTCAACAACCACAAACACAGTCACTACTCTAACAGCGTAACACAGCAGCAGCACTCGTGACATACCCCAAGCGACACTTGTTTTGAATCGCTCATGAGATTAAGCAGTGCGAATAGGGCTATGCACCCTATCAAGGCCGCCCCATAGATGATCCCAAAGTGAATCTTCCCACTCTGTAGAGCATGTGAATATATATGAAAGGATGAGTGGATGGTTGCCATCGGTACATCATGTTATATACATATGATAGGATGAGTGGATGGTTGTCGTCTGTACATCATGTTATATACATATGATAGGACGAGTGGATGATAGCCATCTGTAGTACATGTTACATACATATGATAGGATGAGTGGATGATAGCCATCTGTACATCATGTTATATACATATGATAGGAGGAGTGGATGATAGCCATCTGTACATCATGTTATATACATATGATAGGAGGAGTGGATGATAGCCATCTGTACATCATGTTATATACATATGATAGGAGGAGTGGATGATAGCTATCTGTACATCATGCTATATACATATGATAGGATGAGTGAATGATTATCATCTGTAGATCATATTGTATACAATGATAGAATGAGTAGATGATTGCCATCTGTAGAGCATGTTATGTACATATGATAGGATGAGTAGATGATTAATCATAGAGACCCGCGGATGCATGGGACGACAGAATAGAGTACAGTTGGGATGACAACTGGAGAAGGGAGCTCAGGGCATGTGTGTACTTGTACACATAGCTACCTACCAGTAACAGCGAGCCACCAAACATGAGGCAAAACAGCAGAGGTCAAGGGAATATAGTGCATGTGTGTACATAAACACATAGCTACCTACCAGTAACGACGAGCCACCAAACATGAGGCAAAACAGCAGAGGTCAAGGGATTATAGTGCATATGTGTACATACACATAGCTACCTACCAGTAACAACGAGCCACCGAACATGAGGCAAAACAGCAGAGGTCGAGGGATTTTAGTGCATATGTGTACTTTTGTACACATAGCTACCTACCAGTAACAACGAGCCACCGAACATGAGGCAAAACAGCAGAGGTCCTGCCAGGTCTGTATCGTCCATCAGATTGCTCTCGCCTGGTCGGATGGGATTGAGGGCCATAGCAGCCTGCACAGACGGGTGACCACTGGGTGAGTATTTGGTGCGGAGGATACTCAGACACACCACACGTGGTGGAGTGGGTCAAAGCACACCGAATGATACATATAAATAGAACCACTGGACGGTAACTTTAAATTGAATCACTGGACTGCACCTTTAAACAGAACCACTCACTAGACTGCACCTTTAAATAGAACCACTGGACTGCACCTTTAAATAGAATCACTGGACTGCACCCTCTAAACAGAACCACTCACTAGACTGCACCATTAAATAGAACCACTGGACTGCACCTTTAAATAGAACCACTGGACTGCACCTTTTAACAGAACCACTCACTAGATTGCACTTTTAAACAGAGCCACTGGACTGCACCTTTAACTAGACCCACTGGACTGGACCTTTAAACAGAGACACTGGACTGGACCTTTAACTAGACCCACTGGATTGCATTTTTAAATCGACCCACTGGACTGCACCTTTAAATAGTCCCATTCACTAGACTGCACCTTTAAATAGAACCACTGGACTGCACTTTTAAATAGAACCACTGGACGGCACCTTTAAATAGACCCACTGGACTGCACCTTTAAATAGAATCACTCACTAGACTGCACCTTTCTATAGACCCACTGGACTGCACCTTTGAATAGAACCACTCACTAGACTGCACCTTGTGTTTGATCTGGTCAAAGTTGATCTCCAGCTCTTCCAGCAGAGGTGGTTCGTTGTCGTAGCCAAAGGTCCCTTGCACCTCCTCAGGAGCCGTAGGCGCAGACATGCTTCCTGAATATATCTCTCCCCCTACAGAGACAGTAATGCGTTAGGACAAAGGAATGGATACTAATTCAGTCCATGTAACACCCACAGGAGTGGACTCGATGCTTGTGCATCTTGAGGCACCGATGCGTGCGTGTACACAGGTAGGTGTGTGAGTCGTACACAGCACACAGACTCACAGATACGTTACCTGACTGCATCATCCCTACCTTTGTGTGCACGTACGCACAGGTGAAAAGCCAAGAGTCAGGCCCACAACTCACAGATCAATCCTATAACATGCGACTACAGGCTATAGCTACATATCCAAAACATACACACAATAACACACAATAACACACAATAACACACAATAACACACAATAACACACAATAACACACAATAACAACACAATAACACACAATAACAACACAACAACGCACAATAACAACACAATAACACACAATAACTCCACTGCCAAATCTCTCTCCCCCCTCCCCTCCTTTTACTACCAGTATGTGGCGAGTGTGTGCCAAAGTGCTAAGGCGCGAGTGACCTGCACGAGTCTCCTGTGCAACACTACTCCTGAAAACCCTCAACCCTAAAACCCAAACCCTAAACCCGTCATTCGAACCACAAGAGAACAGCGTATACCTACCCATAATCCGCACATCCCATACATCGCTACGTACCCACTCAGGTAGTCTGCCCGTCCACTGCCAGATACACTACACCATGTGCACCGATACCCACACATCCACAACAGCGACACACACTAATAACATGTACATCCACACAAACAACATACCATACTGACCGCCTGCCATGCCCATCTGACCCGCCTGTGGCGAGGGTGCGCCGAAGTTCGGGGGCTGTTGTGTGCTGAAGTGATTTCCGAAGTCCTCGAACTGCAGCTCATTGCTTTGTCGTGACGTGTGTGAGGGCATTTGTGCACCCATTTGGGGGACAGGAGGTGCACCCATTTTGGTGGGTGACCCTCGTCGCGCTGGTCTTGCTGCTCCGTTCAGGCTGTTGTCCATCATCGGTATGTTGTAGTTCTGTTGATGCTGGTTGTTGAACCCGCCATCCTGATTGGTGCGTATGATCAGAACCAGACGGGATGAGTGTGTGTATACAAGTTGTCTGGGGCTTGATTAAACATAAGCAAACTTGTGTAGCGATACGGGTAGAACACGTGGATCAGAAATCCATGCACTCTGTCAGTTTGAATCCTAGACAAGGGGAGTGATACTAACTATGGGAAGCTTCAATACAATGTATATTCAATGCAAAGTACCATATTCCTGGTAGTGATCTGCTCTCCTAAATGCCATCCTCTCATGACCAGCAATTGGTAATTCGACTTAAAATAATTTTTCCAGAATAATATACATACACTATGTATATACAATATATATACACAATATATACACTATATATATATATATATATATATATAAATATATATATATATATATATATGCATGTATGTATGTATATATATTATATATATACATATATATATAAGTATATATATATATATATATGTAGTAGATATATATATAT